ACACAGGCCTGGAAAATCCAAGTAATGGGTCACCTGTCCACACAGCAGACACTCTGTAACGGCTTTCTACCAGTGCCAGGACGATGGGCCAGTGCTGGGGTTGCATCAGTGAGCAAGAAAACCCCTGCCCTGAGAATTTTACAGGAACTATATATCCCACTCTTCCTTTATAAGAACCCCTATGGTCTCTCACAGATATTTGAAATACTAAAGACATCCAATTTACCTTTTAGTGCATAAATAATTATTTGTGTCTGTTGGGGCTATCCCTGGCTGTCCTTGGTTAGTCTCAAGAGGTGACATCTTATCACCTAAGGCTTGTTTTATTTCTCAGAGGCAGTGCAAGGAAGTGTCAAGTTTCCACACCTCGTCTCCCCCTTCCCTACGTCTTTCATAAAGGCACAGTTTAACCTTTTGMAGATTAAACCAACAGGCTCAGTCTAACAGAAATGAGTCACATTAAGAAGCCAACTTGTTCAACTTGTGGGTTTAAAATGGACTCGGGTGCAGAGAGTTAGGTTAATCATGATCCTTGATTCAAGATGCACATTCTCCATTGGTCCCTGAAGGACCTGTTTCTTCATCTGTTTATTTGACAATAAGTTAAACAATAAAAATCCTCTGCCCAACATGAGACCAAGAAGAACCCGATGCAACTTACATCTTCCTATCCATCCCAGTTCTTGTTGGCTGTTGCCTGACATAATCACTATCCACACACACATGCAAAAGCACGTATGTGACACAACTTTAACCATAGATGTATGAGTGTGTGAGAGAGAGCTTAGTTTTAGTTGTTTTTCCACTTTATGTCAAAGAGCAACAAGCTATAAGCAAACATTTCTTGGACTTATTGACTCAATAATGTATTTCTAAGATCCATCCATATTTTGTTGCAAACAGATCATTTATTAGAGTAGTCACCACTATAAAATCCACCGCCCTATTTTACTGCAGTTCCTGTACCCTACTCATGGGGGTTGCTCCTAGATTTCATTTTACTCTTTACTAAGCAAGTTTTCAAATACACACAAAAGTAGACAGAATGGCCTAAGGAGCCCAGAGTAGCCACCATGGGTGTCGATTGTTATCCACACTTGGTCAACCTTACTTACTCTTCCACCCAGCACTRGATAATTTTGAATCCTATCTCAGCTATCATCCCATAAATAATTCAGTATGTCTCTTACAAAGAAACAACTCTTTAAAAATTGTATCAACCCCAATATCACACTTATCCCCTAGGTGAGCATGAATCCAGTTTTCACAACTCCCTGCTCCCAGTGCTTTTCCTAAACAGCATGGCCCCATGCTTCGCCCATTGGGGAGGAGGAAATGCAGACCCGGGCTGCCGACGGAGGTTCTGAGAAGTCGTCGGCAGTTCTTCCTGGCYGCAGTCAGCTTCTTTTCTGGGTCAGTGCTGAAACTGCCAGAATCTGCAGGTGGGGAACTCCGGAGAGCCCTGGAGGAGTCCCAGGAAGGAAGAGGAATAAGCGCCCTGTGGTACCCAACCTGCAGATGCAGAGGCCATTGGTGATGTCCTCACATGGTCCTTCCATCACAAACCTGTTTCCTTCCTTTAGTGGATAAAATCCTGCTTTGATGAGTCGCTCAAAGGCCTCTGCCTCCTCTTCCTACTTCCTCCCCACCCCCACCACATGCTTAGAAAATAGAAGAAAGGATGGACAAGAGATAAAGATACAACAGCGGAGGTCAAAAACCTTGGGGGGTTTCCTTAGTCTAAACCAGGGGGAGGCAGCCTTGTTCTATCACAGGCCAGAGAGTAGATATTTTAGACTTTGCTTCCTCAACTACTCTGTCTTCAAGGAGTGAAAACAGTCCGAGGCAGTACGTAAACAACCAGGAGTAGCTATTTTCTAATAATTTGCACTTTATAAAACCAGAGGACAGACCAGATTTGGCCCCCAGGCTGCAGTTTATCCACAGTCTAAACAATACAACTGTTCTAAATTTTGGTCTGTTCCTACTCTGGTTTTAATTATKAAATAGTTAACGACAGTTAAAAAAATTTCTAAAGGAAAGATAAAGTATAAAATAGAGCTTACTAGTCAAAACAATTACTGTGATTATTCCCATTTTTCAAATGACAAAATTAATGAACTGTGAGATTAAAGGACTTGCCCCCAAACCACATGGGTAGCACTTGGACTTGAACCCAGAAAATCTCTTAAAAGTTCTTCTTTCTAACTTTCCTGTTTGTCCATATGCAAAGTTCAATACTGCTGTAACTATAAATTCTGCATGAAACAATGCATKGCTGTCCCTTAACATTATAGATATTTGCCTCACAATCTTGACAGTTATAACCGATCATTGTAGCATGATTTTTCATCATTCAAATAATAGCGTTCACTCAATTAGTTCATACATTCTAACCATTTTCTTTCAAGGGATTATTTCTTAAGCTAAATTCCTGGGCATCTCTTTGGCACCAGTCTGACTCTTAAAGCGATATGTTGGGGAGGAAAGGGCTGATCTGTGCCATTTGCCAATTTTTATGGGGTAATTCTCTGATGATGGTGGATTTTTAATTGCCAACATGACATCACTGAACAGCGATGGGAAGAGAGGCAGATGCTTAGCACTGACAAGTGGATGCAAGTTGGCCCCCTGGACCCCTGGCTTGGTCCATATTGCCTTTGTATTTCCCAGGACCAAATTTTAAACTGAATTACAGGGTGTGTAAGTGATGGCTTCCTGACAGCCTTGGTATCTCTGAGCAGCTTTAATTTGCATCTCTGATTTTCATCTTTCCATGTGGTCCCTACTCACRGTCTCTAGCAGGATGACGAGCTACTACACTGAATGTTTGTGTCTTCCTAAAATTTGTATTTGGAGACCTGAAACCCCTATGGTGTGGTAGTGGGAGGTGATGCCCTGGGGTGGGGGGTGACCGAGTCACGAAGACAGCCTTCTCTGAACCAGGAAGCTGCCCTTGCCACACACCCAGTCTGCTGGTCTCTTGATCCTAGACTTCTYGACCTTTAGAAATGGGAGAATTAAATTTCTGTTCTTTATAAGCCACCCAATTTATGATATTTGATGATAGCAGCCCAACTAGATGAAGAAAGATACCTTTCATAAAACTTTACGTGTGAGAGTTATTAATTCTTTAACTTATCTGACATGATTTCCTTCCAACTTTATCTTCGCGATTTTATGGTGTAGAAATTGTGATTCCGCCTATTAATCTTTTCTCTGGCAGTTCCCTTAGGGGGAGTGAACACAAAAGGTTCATCTTATTTTTTTATTCGATAAATATTCATTAAATGCCACCTTCACAGGGCTGAGGAGACACCTGTGATCAAAACGACATCTCTGCCCTGGCAGATCTTCCATCCAGGTGGGGAACACAGACAGGAAATGAGCAGGCACACCTACAACGGGAGGTCCAGTGGGGAGAGCATCAAAGGACGGAGCAACATGAGGGAAAGCCACATCTAAATTCAAACAGAGCCACATTTGTGTCGTTTTGATCACAGGTATATCTCCAGTCCTGTGAAGGTGGCATTTAGTGAATATTTATGGAATAAAAGAAAAGAAGATGAACCTTCCGTGTTCACTCCCCATAAGGGAACTAACTGCAAGAGAAAGGACTGATAAGCTTGATCACAATTTCCATACGATAAAATAGCAAAGATAAAATTTGAAGGAAACCGTGTCAGATAAGTTAAAGAATTAATAACTCTTAACACATAAAGTTTTATGAAAGGTATCTTTCTTCATCTAGTTGGGCTGCTACAATCAAATGCCATAAATAGGTGAAGGAGTGAGCCAGGCTGATCTTCCTGCCATTTGGTTTTGTTTTAATTCAACCCATTTATCCGTGTGTAATTCTTTTGAAGTATGATATAAAGGAGGCTCTGGTTCTATTTTTTTCCAATTTGCATATAATTATCTCAGTGTCCTCCTTGTTTTCAGAAGTGCTGTTACGAAGCTGGGTCCATTTCTCCACTTGCCGATATGCTCCAGCTGGTGTCTTTGGGGGAATCATCCTAATTCTTTATTAATCACTATTTTTGGATCATCTTTCCCAAAGAATTCACCGACTGTATGGATTCTTCTGCCTGAGCATTTCTAAGTCATCCCTGCCAGGATCAAAATAAGACTTCCCGCTCACTCTGAATGGCAAACTGTCAACTAGGCATCTACACCACCTTCCACAGAGCCTAGACAATCTTTATATTTTGTTGAGTGAACAGATGAGTTTCAAAATTCATYCAGAGGTTTTCCCCTCCTCGTTTTTTAAGATCCATCACAAGTAGCGGAAAGCTATTCAAGCCCACCCATATGCACATTTGCTCCTGTCACTGAGATTCAGAAAAATAAGAACCACAAGACTTCAGTCCAGTACAGCCCCCACAACTTTGTTTAACAACTGAAGGAGAGAAGAGTCCCCTCAAAAGGAGCCAGCCAGTATGGAGGGAAGGGAGTGGGGAGAGGAGACGGAAACACAGTGCAAAGAGCCTGACATAACTTTCCTGTGTACATATAACAATACACCACAGGGCATCCCACCCTCCTGAACATCCGCACAAAATTATTTAAAAATAAATAAATAAATAAATAACCATGGGGGCTGGGGTGGTGGCTCAGTGGTAGAACATTTGCCTAGCAGGTGTGAGGCCCTGGGTTCGATCCCCAGCACCACATTTTAAAAAAAAAAAAAAAAAAACTAAATAAACAAAATAAAGATACTGTGTCCATCTATAAATAAAATTTTTTTTAAAATAATAATAACTGGATAAATGGCAAAAAATCAGTAGAGGGAAGGGAACAGAGGTGGGGGAGRGGAGGGGAAGGAGGGGTGCTGGGGCTGAATTAGAACACGCTGCATTCCGTGCTTCRATAATCATGTCAAAATGGATTCTACTGTCATATACAACCAGAAAGAACCCATAAAAAAAGAAGGAGGAGGAGGACGGTGATCGCGTTGGCATTCCCACTTCCTTTATTGCACGGGTTTGGGACGGGAAGTCTCAGAGGCCGGTCTTGATCGCTGTCAGCCCACGTGTTTTCCCAGTTCTGTGTTTACACCGTCTGTACGTCCAAATTCCCCCCAAAACCAAGAAGACCAGCGACAAGGGAGCCAGCGCAATGCCCCAGGAGAACGTGGAGGAAGCTGTGGGGAAAGCAGAGGCTCATCAGGATGGAACTGTGTCTCACAGCAAAACAGGAGGGGCAGGGTGGGCTTCCAGAGAGAAAAGGAAGCAGGTAAATGCCCACTGGTTTCCAGAAAGWAGGGTCCTTACGCCAAGATCAAGGACATTTGAGAATGACATCTGAGGCACTAGAGACACAATCCAAGTTAGATAAGATCTGTTAATCAAAAACATCACCAAGTAGGGGCCCGTGCCAAGGGACCAAGTGTTCCAAATGTGGACACTGTGCACTTAAGATGCTGTCTGTTGACACCTCAGTGAGCCATCTGTGACTTGGCCAGGGAACTGTCTGCCTTTCTTCAATGAGCATGGAGATCATGAGGATTTACCAAGGAAAACAAACAGAGTCAAGGTCCCGGATGCCAAGATCATTGCTCAAATCCAGCAATTGCATATTCTATTCCTTGACATCTCTAGGCTATGGAAATATAGGAAGAAACTGTAAACCAAAAGTTGAATGGWAAATATGGGAACAGGGTGTTATTAAACACATTGTTTTTGAAGTCAGAATCTCACCTTTTTTAAGCTTTTGTTTGCCATAATCTGGTTAGACACTCAGGAATCAATACACTCTCAACCTGATTCTCCTGAGGATTCCTATACCTTAAAAATTCACCCAGATTAGAAATAAATGAAGCTTGTGATTTTTCAGCAGTCAGCTGAATACGCTTATTGGTCCTTAGGAAAGGCCCAGCCTGGGCCCTCTGGGTTCAGTCACAGCCTGCCCAGCCCAGGACACACAGACACAGGGCTCTGGTGACAGAAAAATGTGAAAGGTTTCCAGCACCAGGACCAGACRGAGCACGGGTCCCTTTGGCTCACTAGTCTGATTCCCAGAGGGAGAAAGCTGTTTTTTGTGGGATCCCCATGTCCAAATCTGTACAGTGACAGTCTCACTGTCTTCTCTGCCAGCCTGCTCGTTATGAAAATGATCAGAAACACCACGCTTCACACATACGTCCTGGTTCTCAAACTTCAATCGGCAAGGAGTTTGAGAAACTGCAACCTTCAGCTGCCCACCAGGAAAGCGCACCTGGGAATGCTTGGGAAGAGTCCACGGATCTGTGTTTTTTAACTAGTGGCTCAGGTGGTGCCATTCTGGTAGCACCGAGAGCTGAGCAAAGCTGTGCCGGCTGTTGATACCTCTCCTGAAACTTGGCCAAATCATCAAACTTCCAAATTAAAGTATGTCCAACAGTTTCCTCCTAGCAAAATGTGGACATGTGCAAGCATCGTCAGAAGGCATCACTGAGATCCCTGAGGGGAACTGCTTTGGGCTAGGGGCTGTTGTCTTTGCAGTCTGTCAACAGAGAGGAGCTCATCGGCACCTCCCTTTCCTGCTCAATGTTTGAACATTCAGGAAAAAAAAAAAAATGTCAAAAATGATGACATGAGGGTCTTGCTTTCCTTTTTTCAATGTCCTTAAGTGGCCACCGGGTTAATTTGGCTACAGCCTTGCTCTTACTCCCTGTAACCTAATGGCTTTGACCTTAAAGCCACCCTGAACTCTGGTGTCTTTCAGTATCCGGCTTTTGTAGGATGGAATGACCCACCCTCTTCTAGAAGCCACGTGAGGACAGCTGATCCTGGTGATCCAAGGCAGAACCACACAGGAGGACACAGGGTAGCTTAAAGTTCATAGCAGAAACTATTTTGCTATTTAACCTTTGCCAAAACTTATTTTGCTATGGGAACTTTGTATTTGAGTATGATCTCCCAGCTTCCATCACACCAAAAAAAAAAAAAATTAAAAGTAGGAGATTTTTTTTTCTGGGCTCTCCTAACAGGCAATGCAAGAAGACCACCCAAGGAATCTTCTGGAGAACCTGTAGCTTTGTTCAGCATCCATTCCACGTGTTGTTTTCTCCTCTGTCCCCAATATACATACCTTCTTTGACTGTGGTTCGTAGTGTCTGAAAACTCAGTGTATTAAGGACGACACATTTAAAATCTGTATCCAAATCCTCTCTTAAGACTGGATTAAAAATCAACGGCACTTCGATGTAGTTCTCATTGTTTTCTGAATATTCCCTAGGTGAGAAAATATTCACTTACACATGGTACAAACATAGGCATCTAAACAGTCTCAAACTAGAAGCACCCATTGTGCTTAAATTGATTTGAAGTTTCATAAAGTTAGGAGGATTTTTCATCATAATTATCTGGGAGAATTTCTAAGCCTCTTTTAGAAGACAGAGTGTCATTGAAGATGCTGGTCATTGTAATAGGACCTCTGTTAGACTGACAACTTACATTCTCATTTTGGTTTGGTTGATGGAAAAAGATCTTTTTTTCTGGTATGAGGAATTGAACCCAGAGATGCTGTACCACTGACCTATATCCCTAGCCCTTATCATCTTATTTTTTTTTATTTTGAAACAGAGTGTCACTAAATTGCCGAGGCTGGCCTTGAACTTGCAATCCTCCTGCCTCAGCCTCCCAAGTCACTAGGATTACAAGCATGTCCATCATGCCCAATCAAAATTTTTATTTTTAAAGACCCTTGACAAACAAAGATCCAGTAGTGGGAACAGAAACATTTGTTTAGGGGAATCTTGAGTCTCTCACCAAGAAATTATTCACATATTGAAGAGGAGGGCACCTGTAGGACTCCATCCCTCAGCAGTGTCACCTCCTCATTTCTATTGCCAACTGTCACTCTGAAACTCTAGTCCAGGTCAGAGGGCTGCAGACGACAGAGTGGAAGAGCTCTAGTCAGGATATCTGCCATTCACAATGTCAGCGGAAGCTGAAGACACTTCACTGCTATCTATTTACATGAATAAAAAACCTTGTGGAATGGATCCACTGGGACTGCTTGTGTTTTATCTGGAAGAAAAATGTGTTCCTTTAAGTAAATGAATAGCAGGAGTGAGCTGGCACAGGGCATCTAGTCGTGGCCAAGTCTTCCGCAAGCCAACTGTTATGCTAATCCACAACCTTTTCATCTACTAAATCGCATCCAGAAAGAATTTTTTTCTTTCAAAAAAGACAAAAGAAAAGCAAGCAAAAGTTCASGCTGATTCAAAGCATCAAAAACGATAAATTTAAAGAACACTGTAGGATTTGGAACGTGGAACGGTTTCCCTTTCTCTCACACAAATGCCTCCCATGTATGAAGTCTGGTGCTTCTAGATTCAGAGTGAGCAAACATTTTCTGGAGATGACTGCTTATGAGAACTGCATTCTTTCTTTGATTAGACACTCTGACAGCTTACGATTCCCCCAAGAAAAAGAAGAGGCATCAGTACAAATACTGGAGTTAGCTCTCAGTCTTTTGTCGGGATTTATGAAAATATTCGAGAGTGAGGTTGCCAAATGGCAAAGAGAAACTTTTTTTTTTAAGCCTGCAAAAATCAAGAAATAAATCTTTAAAAACAGCGACAAAATGCAACATCCATACCAACTACTCAACTGAAACTTAACTCACCTGGGTCTAGAAAAAGTCTGATTCTCAAGATAATTTTTAGCAAAATAGAAATTTTAAAATTCAAAACTCAAACAGTGTGAAACCACCCCCAAAAGTTACTTTTACTGTGGTAGGTGTGTCCGATTGATAGGCTGGATGGGACATTGTCTCCAGAAGGAAGAGGGAAACGACAGAGGTCTCACGACAGAAGGCCCTCACCCACTTACTGGCGCGGCCCCTCGGTCACTCGGCCTCCCGGGTAGGCGCTCTCGATTTGGGTGCTGTTAGCTGTCCACCACAGCAGGGTGGTGTCAGGTGTGCCGGCTCCCAGGAACACCTTACACGGGATGGTCAGGCTGGACCCTGTGTTTAGCAAGACACGCACATCCAGCATCAGCACCCAGCATGGGCAAAAGCGTCACCCCAGATCCTCACGTCTGTCCACAAGCCAAAGCAGGGCACCCCCCTCCTTGTCTTCTCAAACACTCCTCACTGGCCARTTAGTTTCTAGAAGGAAAATTAGTTTCCCCGAATAATTCTGTTCAYACAGAGCGTTACTATTTAATATTCAGCTTGACTTCCCCAGGACCACTCCTYTTCTCTGGGACATTCTGAATTCAGTGGCTGCCTTCTTCCACCATGGATCCCAGACAAATCCAGATCCATGTGCAGATTCTCTCTCTTTGCCCACGGCTGCTCTCAACATGAACCTTCCCCCCCGCCCCCCCCCCCAGAACTCCAAGGTGGCTGGCATTTAGGATTAACCCTCTAAAATCCAATTTCATTTCTAAGGACAGCGCCCTCTACAGTTATGTAGTGTGATGGCGCTGGGCACCCCTATAATGCCTCTTCGTAAGTCACCAAAGGAAAAGGTAAATCCTGCCCAATTGTTTCCTCCTCCTGGGAATATGTATCCTATGGGGTGTCTTTTAATGCACCTAGTCCCACTTCAGGCTCAGAATGCCCTCCCTTCCCCATCCTCTGCCACTCCAGTGACTTTAAACGCTTCCCCCAGCCATGGGAGTGCGTTAAATCCAGGTCACATGACGGCACCATGCACTGCAGTACGCTGAAAGCAATTGGTGGGGAACCGGGTTTCACTCAGCAGAGGGCAATGGGAGCTGGGGCACTGGCATCCAGGGAGCACCAACCAGTGTCCCCACTGCCCTGGTTTCCTAGTACTTTCCAGAGTCAAGGTGGCCATGCAGGATGCAATTCATGTAGCAGCCAGCTATCCCCGCAACAGCTCAAAAGCCATCTTCCTATGGCCTCCATTTAAAATTAAAAACTCAAACCCAAGGCCAAACAGAAGTGAAAAACCATTTCTCTAAAGCACTCCGTAGCCAGGGCTTGATAAATGAGCCTCAGACCTACCAGTCTATTATACCAACACAAACACAAAAAGGGTGTCTGTGTTGACACACAGACCTCAATCTCTAGCCCAGCCTGCCCCTGAGTGTGGCTTTTTGAACTTCACTAAGCTGCCATGACTCCCTGGGCGGCTTTTCCTTGTGAAAAATGGAATTAGCACCTTCCCACAGAGAGGATGCTGGGATCAAATAGATCCCATTAGACACCGTAAATGCTCAATACACAGCCATCCCAACTCAACACTCTCATCAACCGCTGTTAGTACCGCCCACTTATGCACCCTCACTGCCTACTATGAGGGACTGAAAAGGAAGTGTGCCGGCCAGGACAGCCTGTGCTCAGTTAGGGTGAAAAAGGGGAACTTGGCTGGTCATCTTCAACATGTTACTCAACCTGTTGATAGCTACTGCGGTGTCAAGAAACTGTCTCTGACCACTGCTGAAGCCACCTAACCAGTGGAGTCTCAGAAAGCTGAGCCACATTTTGGTAATTTTGTGAATTACTTTAAATTTACTAAAAGTGAAGCTCTGTAAGGGTTTCGTGCTGTTCATCTTTTCCTACAATTAATAACAGCTGGCAAAATGTCCAGCTTTCTACATTTAMATTTTTGTAGGTAGGATATTCATGAAGTGAAGTATCCTTGCTTTCTAATAATATCATTTTTAACAACAAAAAATGTTCCCTCCCGTTTGTCATCTCAGCCCTTACACTGAGTCCTAAGGTCCCCACCCAGGCACACTGCCACCCTCCAGGGACAGGTATGGTGTGGTCAGCAGACACAAGGTCCCAACCCCCTGACTCTGTGATTTCAGGCACCACTGCAGGCACATGGGTGRGACGGTACTTGCATGCCTTACCCAGAGATGTTGATATGGTCTGGAGGGGAGAAATAATCACAGGAATGGTCTCCTCTTTTCTTTCTGAGAAAGATGTAAGGAAAAGAGATTCCATTAGGGAAGCCTTCACTTCAATGTGAGACTCAGGTTTCATTGTTCAGCTCATCAACCAAGTTCTCCTTCACAGTGGGGCCAGTCATTGTGGGAACTGACCTTTTGTCTGGCAAAGGAAATAGGCTCTCCACGAAATCGAGCRTCTTTGGCCAATGCTTTTCCCAGCAGAGACATTACTGGAAGAGGCCACAGTTGCACATTCCACTGACAGTCGGGCTTTGTTCTTTGCTCGGTGATCAACCATTAACCATTGCCTTCCCAGGCTTCCTGAAGGTGTGTTGATGATGCCCACGGGGATAGGTCTTACACAAAGGTCCCCCCACCCCAGGATGCCTACACAGAACACTGAAGCTTCTTCAAGAGCAGGCACAGGGGCTGGAGGGCCATCTGTTTGTAAAGCTAATGCCATACTGGGTGAGAAATGCAGTAACCCAGCTGTGGCTGCTCCGTGTCTTGTTAATGGAGGAGACCAAACTCTGGGAATGGGAACCAGCTTGAGCACACTGGACGCCTGAAGTGGAGCAGAAACGTCGGGGTGGGTGCGGTGAAAGCTGGGAGCTGTCTGCACCCTGGCCTCACCATCCTCCCTTCTATGAGAGAGTATTTTGAAATCCTCCCGTGAGTAAGCATTAGGCCTGGGCGCAGGAGCAGAGGGATTCGTGACGGTGGCCAGAGGCTTATTCCTCTTTTCCACGTCACATTGCCATCATAGGCAGGTGGAGGCAGTCAGGTAAGAGAAAGAAGCTTATCTCCATGACTCAAACGTGAGGGTGCACCAGCCTCCCCGAGGGAGGGCTGATGAGACAGATGGCAGCCCCTCGGCATCCAGTCTCTGATTTAGTACTTCTGCGTGAGACCTGAGATTTTGCTTGAGTCATCAGTACCCAGGTGCTGAGGCCCCTGCTGGTCCAGCATCCCCCCACCCACCCAGCCACCCTTGAGAGTCGCTGCGCGGCAGCGGGTCCTTTCGCTACTCAGTGTGATATGTAGGGCGGCCGCCCCCTAGTGCTCCTGGGCAGTATGGCATGAGTGGGATCACCATCAGGGACTGGAGGAAAGAACAGCTCAAGTCAAACTGGCTGTGGAGGAACAAGAAGTTAAGATGCATGAATTCTCTGCAGGACAGAAAAAGAAATGGAAATCTAGGGACTTCCGCTTATGGAAGAGGTGATGTTCCTTATAATAAAACAATCTCTGGATTCTCTAGGAAAAGTCTCCTTCACAGGCTCATTATAAGTCCCCTTGGAAGAATCCAATTGTGGCATTCGGTAGGTAAGGAAAGTGGCATACTTCCCAGGACAGAGTCCAAAACTCACGCATCCTCTGCCCCTTGCACCTAATTCTATGTCTGGCACACAGGRGGTGAGCAATATATGTCCAGCAAATGTTAAATGCTAGCCAGTCCTGTTCACGACTGTGTTTTCAAGTATAATTAATCCTGGTACAGGCTAACCACCCTCATCCGAGAATTCAAAATCTGAAACACTCCAAAATCTGAAATTTCTTGAGCACCGTCATGATGCCACAAGTGAAAAGTTCCACACCATGAAACTTTGCTTCATACATAGAATTATTTTAAATACTTTATAAAATTAACCTTACGTGCATAAGTTGTACATGAAATATAATTTAATTTCATGTTCGGATTTGGATCCCTTCCCAAGGTATTTCATTATGTATATGCAAATATCCCAAAGTCTGGAGGGAAACAATCAAAAACCCTTAATACTTCTGGCCCCAAGTATCTCAGATTGGTGGTACTCAACCTGTACCAAAGGCCATCCAACACACCTTAGGAGAAAAAAAAAAATAGAGAAAGGAATTTCCACTGGATAAGCTGATGCAGAACCTTCTGGTTGAAAAATCCAGTAAGATCCTAATATTCTAAATTATATATGAAGTTGCAGCAGCCATGTTCTGATCGCCAGCCCTGTAGGAGCAAATCTTTGATGCTATCTTTTGGAAGAAAATATCCAAGGAAACCATTGTGGTGAGTTTTAGCCTCCATCTCATTACCACTCAGGGTAATTCACCTTTCCTCACACCACCACCCTGATGGCTTATTAGCCTGATGCTTTTGGACAGTCCTATCTGTTTTCCTTTGCTTTCATACCAAAGATATTCTAGGGATTCTTTGTGAACTGAATTTGCTCTGACGCTTGTTCTTGAACCAGGAAGGACAGGCACCTTGGTGGTAARTACTTACTATTGACGCGGAGTTTGACGTTCCTAGTGACGTTGTATCGYCTGCCCTCGTGGGCAAATGTTATGGCACATTTGTAGTAGCCCGCATCCTCCACAGATACRTCATGTATGAGTAAGCGTGTGGTCCCCTCCACACTTATAAATTTCTCATTGTTTTCATCCAAAGGGACAGAACCCTTGAGGGAAAATATATTTGATAATTACATTATATGATAATACATATCTCAAAAGCTATGATCTGCATCATCAAAATCAACCAGTGTTGAATTTGCAACCCAAGAATTGCCCTGGCATTTRCTTCACTGATTTTATGCTTTGGGCATAATTTTAGCTTGTATTTTTAGGAAAAGAAATTTGTCAACATATAAAACAAATAAACTGGCTTGATTTGTTTAGCCAAGATATTTAAAGCATATTTGTTCAAGTACAGATATGAAAAAGAGRTGCACTCTTCTTGGAAAAATAGGCCATTTAAAATACAACTTTATTTCTTGTTCAACTGCTTCCTACTGGCCTCGGGAAATACCCAGGAAGATCACTATTAAATCGTCACGATGACTTTGGACAACCATATTTAGAAAAGATAATGATTCAGTAATTACTTTAAAAATTATTTCAATTTTTGGTACAATAAAGAAAGATTTGTTGGGAAAAAAAGAAACTAAGTGGGAGAAATGATCTACACTTTTCCTATAAACACCACGTTCTGGGGATTCTCTGAAGAATAGAACCCACAAGAATGAGACCTCCAATACACTCAGAGAAGTGGAATAAAATTCAAGAAAACATCCTCATGAGAACAGCATGTCCTGGGGAACATCTCTTTCAAAACCAAAGCTTACAATAGTCAAATGAAATCATGAGTCATTTCAGAATCTTACTCTGAAATGACACAGACACAACTGAAATAGTTGGCCACACGGCTCACGCMGTGTTGCTTTATCATACATCTCATTAAAAGGAGGGGTCTCGTGTTTCCTAGCGTGAGTAGTCAAATATGCAAGGTAGTTGTTCCGATGCTATGTGAGGAACAGGGCTAGGGTTTGGCCTTCACCGCCCACCAGCCGGGAGACCTTGGGTAAATTCCTGATGTTTCCTGTCATCTGGGAAGCGGAGAGATCAACAATCCCTGCTTGGCTGGGCTACTTGTTGGCAAGGTTAGAAGGGGCCTGGACATAGTGCCTGCCCAGTAATGCTTAGCATAATTATGGAGGGAGCCAGTGCCGTCCAGCCTCTTTATCCATCAAGCACTGAGCTAAGCGTTTCATACACGCCACTCCATTGAAACTTCAGAGCAGATTAACTAAATGCTGTTTTACAACAGAAACAGGTTACAGAGGTGAAGTAGCCCAGCACTGTGGCCACACCTCTAATCCCAGCAGCTCAATGGGCTGAGGCAGGAGGATTGCAAGTTCAAAGCCAGCCTCAGCAATTTATCAAGGTCCCAAGCAACTTAGTGAGACCTTGTCTCAAAATTAAAATTAAAAACAGGGCTGGGGAGATGACTCAGTGGTTAAATATCACAGGATTCAATCCCTGGTCCCAAAGGGGAAAACAAAAAGAAAAAGAAAGTCGTTTGGCTTAGGCTAAATGAAGGAAAAGGGTTTAAATCCAGACCTATTTTCTCCAGATCTGTTCTCTTTTTCCTCTCCAGGCAAAAATCTTTTATTTGCCCTCTTCAAGCTCTTTCTAAAACAAAAGAGAAGTCTTCTACAGCTGACTGGGCTTCTTCATAGGAGATGGCTAATGTCTACTTTAAGAAAATCATCTCATAGTTTCCACTGTTAACCAATTTTATATATATATATATATATATATATATATATATATATATATCTGTAGATATAGTTTTCAGTTACCGGCCGATGGCCTATGTCAAATATTGGCAAACTTTTTCAGGAAAGGGCCAGATAGTAAATATTTCTGGAAGCTCACAGTCTGCCTGGTCCTCTGCAGTGTGAAATCAGCCACAGACAGTGCAGCCCCAAATGCCCGTGGCTGAGTCTCAGTAAAATTGAATTTCAGATAACAGTTAATGCTATGGGACAATTCCATTTTAAAAAAAAAAAAAAAAAACATTTTTAAAAGTGAAAACTATCCTTAGCTTATGAATTGCACAAAAACAGGTGAGGTCTACACATAGCTCCCTGCTGATTAGTCCAAGAGCCGGCTCTTTTCTTTAACTTTCCAATGATCTCACTAAGAACCATTATCATATTTGATATTTATTCAACCAGTGAGGGGGAAACCTGTGTTCATATTTACTTCTTCAGCCCAAAAATTAATTGTCAGGTGCTTTAAAAAAAAAACTTTAAAATGTATAAAATTGTCACATAAAATAACGAATGACCAAGTAAAAATCTATATTTTTTTTTAGCTGTTCCTCTTCTGGGTTCGTTTTAAATTCTGACTTCACAAATCATAATTTTGAGGAATGTTTCTCAAGCCATGTAAAGAAGACATTAATTATCACCATTTTTAATCATTTAATATATACGCATTTCAAAGATAAGTATATGACATAGACACATATGAATACAAGTGAAAGTATTGTCTTCAGAAATGGATATCATGTATCTTTTCTATGACTCTCCCAACACATTCTAATCAAATGGAATTTTCAGAGCTGTACCTTGTACCACCGAGTCTTCACGTCAGTTCTGTTCCGGGTGAATTCCCTCAGATCAGGGCACGCTAACAACCCAGAGGCAGACAAGGTCAGGATTTGCGAGTAGGAGATGAACGGTAGGGAAGCTTCTGTGTTCTCAAAAACTCTGAGCTCAATGGACATTTCATCACAGTGGGAAGCATTTCTGTTTTAAAAAGGCAGGGGAGATGATGAATGGCGAGACAAAGTAAAAGTAAACGAAATCAAGAATAATTTCCCCAACCCTACCAAACTCTGAGTCTGCATTCTCTTGGTTAGTTTTGTCTGTTTCTTTTAAATCTTTAGGTACAAAGAACAGAACATCATAATTGCTACACAGAAGCAGGAATGTGGCCTACGCTTTTCACAAAGGGACCCTTCAGGAGCCTGATTTCAATACCATTCAAAGCCATGAAGAAATCCCCAAGTCCTCTTCAAAAGGGTTTAACTAAACGGGCAGGAGGCACATACCTGCCATACCAAGACTTAGGAGGACCGCAGGTTCAAGGCCAGCCTCAGCAATTTAGCGAGACCCCCACCAACTTAGTGACCCCCGGCTCAAAATAAAAAGGTTGGGGCTGGCGCTCAGTGGCAGAGTGTTCATCTAGCATGTGGGAGACCCTCGGTTCAATCCCAGCATCCAACATATACAATAAAGTAGGAAAACCTAATTATCCCAGCTAAGTTCCTAGCTACCTGAGACACGGGACATATCCACAGAGGCAAGGAGGATGGGTTTTGTACGTGGGGTAAGAATCACTTGCCCAGAAAAATAGATAACAACATCTATTCAAAGAAGCGACAAAGTGCGAAAAATACATGAAAGAAATGTGGTAAGAAGTTACTATCCGAGAGTAAAAAATCATTAATTCAAATGGATAAGGCCAGTCAGTATCTGTATTATATTTCATATCTGGTTTGGGAGGGGGAAAAAAAGGAAAAATAGATAAACAAACCTTTTATGCACAAAGAAATGCAAAAAAAAAAAAATTAACTCTCACCTTGAAAATTACATAATTTCACTGCAGGTGAAAGAAATGCCAACGGGGACAGGTTCAAAGAACAGTGCACACCTGAACAATCATCATCAAGACCTGGTCACAGCGACTCGGCACATGCCAGGTCCTGAGCYGGGTGCTCTACCTGCATCATTTCATTTGTCCTCTGAGGTAGGGTTATTATATCATTTTCAGATGAGGGAAATTAATAACAAAAAATGAATTTCCTAAGGCTGGGTAGCTACAAAGAAATGAAATCAAGTCTGGAAACCCTGTGGGTTTCTGGGAAAAAAAAAAAACATAAATTAGGGCAAACCAAACTTACCAGACATAACTAGAGTCACAAACTTGTTCACATCATTGATCTGGTAATTCCCCTTGGGCAAGAGACAGAGATTGGGGGCGCTGCTTGCTCCAGCAGTATCATTTTGACTATTTTGAGTGACAGAAAGGCTACATGGGTTCTAAATCACAAGGTCATAAAAGTCACAGGATAGGGCAGCCTTATGCCCTATGACTGTAAATGCCAAAGAATGTTATAGCAACTGCTGGTGATTTTCACTCTGTTAAATCCCACTCTTACAGTGGAAAGAGAGTCCTGGAGGTCAAGCAGGTAAACTTTCCCACGTGCAAAGAAAACTTGGCACACATGGGGATTTCCACTGCCCCTCAATCTTAGAATCTCTTATTTTCCTACAAAAATAAAATAAAGGCACTAACTAGGATTTTTTTTTTAATCCAGTATAAAAACTAACTTTAAAACAAATGTGACTTTGCTCACCTCTCCTTGATGTTTGCACAGTGTCACATCARTAGACCTAAGTACTTCCTTAAGAAGGACCAGGCATTTCCATATTTATTAACCACCAACCTGGGCTTTCCCCATGAATTCTTCACATGCTGTTACCTCACATAGCCATCTTAAGAAATCTCTTTACAGGGGAAAAACTAAGACCCATAAAAGTCAAGTAATAAGACCAAGGTTCCAGCCAGATAGAAAGAGAAGGGCTAAGATTCTCCTCTGTCTTTCTGACCCCAAGTTTCATTTCTTTGTACTATACCATTATGTTTTCCAAATAATGCCCCTGAGAGAAAGTTAGAATTTTTTACCCTGAAAAAAAGACAGAAAAATTATGCATTGAAATCACACATCCAGGTTTCCTTGATAGGGAAGTAGGAGATGGCTTGCCTGCTTCCCAGGTGAAGTTCATTGATAGGTTTGAACCTGGCCGCAAATTACAGCAGGAGCTAGGTGTATAGATATAGATGGTAGTGTCAGGATGGGATTGATTTGAAGATTCTCGGCTTGAAGATTCTCGGCATCACACACACACACACACACAATCAATAT